TTTCTGTTCCATTTGAATTTTGGGAAGAAGATAAAAGGAAAACGGACTTAATCTCTGTTTCATTTCAACTTGTAAATACCACATGTATAGTTTCCGTACAGACGGAGTTTACCTGTAAGGCTGGACTTCTTGTAGGAACAAGAGTTGCTCTTCAGGCGTGGCCGTGTCCCTGAGCTGCTTGATGACGACGCGGGTCTTCCGTAAGCCGGGATGCATCCTTTGGGCTTCTCCTTGTAAGACCTGTCGGTGAAAGACGGGAGAGATGCAGACACGGGATTTTCGGTATTCTTTCTGGTAACAAAACCAAGGTTTCCGTGCTCGCGCCTTTTGCATGTCGTCAAGGTTTCAGTGCCTGTGGAAATCCCAAAAGCTTTCATTGTTTTGGCCAAAATGGACCAATGGAATCAGAACTTGATCCAATCCAATTTAACTGAGGCATATTAGTCAAGATTTAAATCAGGCTACAACACAGACAGGTAGGCCTAATTGTGGCATCTTTACCAAGGTTAAGTCACACGTCCCTAACCCCCTGGGCTCTTGCACAAGGGAGCATACTGAACCCAGCAAACTTCAACTTCAGGTGCATGTACCTGTCTATGTTCTTATACAAGCAGGTCACTGTACCAAACCTGATCAACTCCAACAGAATGAGCCCGTTGGAGTTTGAGTGATATGGTATGGATGGGTCTATGCAGTACAGGATGAATTGCACTGAACAGTACCAAACCTGACAAAATCAAGCATAGTCCAACAACTGGTACAGCAAGCCCTGAACCCTGTGTGTTCCAACTCACACAAAATCCAACATCATCACTCTGGGCCTTTGATACCAAGTCCAACAAAATTCAATGAGAAATTAAACGGGTACGGTACCGAACCTGCCCAAACCTAGCAAAACCTGCTGTTGGAGTTTGATGGATACCGGGCAGTTAGGGTTAACTCAATCATTCCTAAGTCTGGCAAAAAGTCCAATCCCATCCAGGGGGAACAGAAATCACTCTTAGCCATTTCGCGCCAAGGACGCCAGTGATAACCACTGGCCTGATGAGCCAACTTGGCTCTAAACAGATCTAGGATCTTTTTTTTTGGGGGGGGGGAGGCTCAAGATTGGCAATGGNTCCTGACTCAATTAACCACTGAAAACGCTATGGTCAATGCACTCCCAACCCCAGCCCCATTAGATGCAGCGAAGTACCGCGGGAGTCAAACTCTGCTGAACTTTGTTGCACTGGGCACTGAACAGCAGATGAACAAGCTACGTACGACAAGACAGCAGGAGCTGGATGGCAATGGATCCTGCAGTGGCTTGCACATTGGGACTCTAGGGGCTGTTTGGCCTTGGGGATAGCTGACGTGTTGGAATTTGTAACAATCTGCAGGCTAGTAAACTTTAACGACTGATGCCAATGGATGTATCCAACACGGTTTCTTGCCAATATTCTTTCCTTACCTTCCAGCTGCGCGATCTGGGCTCCATTCCTAGCTCAGTCCTCATGTGGATTGGGTTTTCAGTCTCTAACTGATTCCGTGAGTTTGACCCGGAACATTCCTCCAGGTTTTCCTCCCACCTCTAAAACTGCTGTCTACAGGTTTCATCAGGTTTACAATCTACTGTGCGTAGGGCGCTTTTGAGGAAAACAACTCTTGGCTCTGTTACTCGCGATACTGACCTTGCCAAACCAGCCATTGCCCATCTCGTCCACGTAGCTGACCTGACAGCGCGGGAACTGGAACCGGGGCGAGTCAATCAGCTTGATGCTCTGCAGGGTCTGGCCTGGGTCCAGCCCCGCGCTGCTCCCCCCGCCGCTCACCCGCAGCACGTTCACCCACTGGTTGCTGGTGCGACCCGGCAGCTGGGGTAAGGGCTCGATGGTGACCGTCTCGGGCTCCGGGGAGCCCGGCGGGCGACTAGGGGTGCTCATGGTAGGGGGGCTGAAGTCAGAAAAGCTGGTGTAGTGCTGACCGACGACGTTGGTCTCTGTGGTGGTTTCCTCAAATTTCTGGGGGCCAAAAAGTAATTCCGTTTGAAACGTCAAACTTCAGTTAATACTCAGCCCTCAACTTTAGCACTAAACCAACATACAAATTCTAGTAAAAATGGCTCCAGGCTAGTAAACTGCATTCTTTAACTTGCTCGGCGGGCTAGTAAAGAAACACCGACCAGGTTGAAACCGTCATTTATCTTATCTATAAAGATGAACAAAACAAAGATTACAAATGTTGTGAATTGTGATTGTACGTGTTGTTTGGTATTAATCATAACAGTTTTGAACCCTCCACTTTTAAGTTTTAAAATTGACAGCATAATTCCACAGTAACAGTTAAAGAAAATAAAGTTGACAAAGCTAGTCAAAATTAGTTTTGCTAAATGATAATAACAATAAAAATAATAATTACTTGTTACAGTGCATATCGCTTTGGAAGTCCCTATGCGTGCTTACTTTATCATTATCCGTGCACATTGGGCTTACATCATCTGAGCATTCATGAAAATTCATCTCAGCTCCCTGGGGAGTATACTAGCCCGGTGCAGTCATTTCGGCACAAACGGTTAAACATAACCGTGTCTGCCCTCACAGGTACCCATTTGGTACTCCTGGGTGGAGAGAGGCACATGGGCGTAAAGTGACTTGCCCAAGATTACAACATGCTGCCACCAGCTGGATTCGAACCCCCGACCCTATGATCAGAAGCTACAAACCCTAACCACTAGGCCGCATGCCTCCCTCCCCATCAGGTGGACTAGTGAAAATTTCTGCGGGCTAGTGAGAATAACTTGCCCTGCAGGCAAGTTAAAAAAACGCTTAACCCTAACCCCCAGGGACCATTGAAATCCTGCATCACCTTGGGTTCAGCATTGTTAGGGATAAGGTCGAGGCCTGGTTAATACAGAAGAAAAGTTGGAATCAAGTCAATCACGGATACCAAATCAAGTGACCCACCAATCAAAAGACGTAAGGCACAACTGTGTGAGTCGGTGATGATGGTAGGTAAAGGGATGTACTCACATGAAAACCTCTCTTGCAGCAAGAAGCGCATCCGATCAAGGCAGTGATCAGGCAGAGGCAAGATGCTACAGTCAGGATACCGATAACTGTCGCATCAGACAAACTGGTCAAATCCATTCCATCTGTTCACCAAAAAACAGTCTGGTCAATAAATTTAGAATGAAAACCACACCCACAAATATAAAGCGATTAACACCACTGACGCACCCTGCTTCTAGTTCCGCCATATCTGGGAATTTTTCTGAATAGGGGCAATTCACAATACAGGGTGCCACAGAGAGGTTGCCACGGAAAAGCAATTTTTAGCAGTGCATTGTGGGAAATGGTCGGCAAATTCCATTTGCCAGCTGAATTATTCCGGATGCTTGTTGGTCGGGGAAGATTCACATGTGCATTTCAAGTAGCTATTTAATTAATCTTTTCTTCAGCAAAGAATGTCAAAGTCTATCACAAATTTCCGCAAGCTGTCTACCGACATGAGCTCCAATGCAAAATGTGGTAAGCCAGCCATGCTTCTGTTGACCGTAAACTTGAAACATGGCCTCTCCACAGCAACCTCTTGGGGGCCGTACTTTCTTTTGTAAATTGTCCCTTTTACCTTGATCCCAGTTTTATTTGTGACCAGTGCTGTGAATAAGAGTCACAAGTCGTCAAAGCCACTTTTGAGTTAAACGCCTTTAACCCTAACTTCCTAGGCCTTTTTACTAGGAAACATTCCGAATCCTCTGAAATCCTTTTGGAGGTGTGCCTAATCGGTGACATTTTAACAACATAAATTGCTTGCGAGTTTTGATTGCATAATATCAAAACTTACGTACCAATGACAACTTGCGTGCAAATACATGTAAGACAGATATTTCACTGGTTGATGTTGGCCAAATAGTCACGAGTAAAAGTGGAACATTTACATGTTTAAACAAAAAAGTTCCAAATCCGTTTACAGATTTTCCTGGATGTTTAAACAGAACTAGCCCTTTTGGTTTGACGTTTTGATTGACGCAATCTTGCATTCACTTTTACTGTAAACAACGCCTGTAAAATATAATCTGAATTTTGGAACACTTTACTGCTCTATCATATCAAGGGAATACCATGAATTCATCACAGGAACTTGGTGTCAACTATTAACCCTAACTGCCCAAAACCTGCCATACTCCAGCAGCAGGTTTTGTGAGGTTTTGGCAGGTTTGGTACCGTACCTGAGGAACTTGTTGTTGAATTTTGTGAGACTTGGGATGAAAGGCCCAGGGAGATGGTGTTGGATTCTGTGTGAGTCGGGACACACATGGGTCACTGTGTGCAATGTCTGGCTTGCTGTACTATGCTTGATTTTGTCAGGTTTGGTACTGTTCAGTGCAAGTCATCCTATACTGCATAGACTCATCCATACCATATCACTCAAACTCCAACGGGCTTATTCTGTTGGAGTTTATCAGGTTTGGTACAGTAACCTGCATGTACAAGTACATGGACAAGTACATGAACCTGTTGGATTTTGTGAGGTTCAGCATGCTTTCTACTGCAGGAGCCTGGGGGGTTAGGGTTTACATCGTACAAAATTGGTTGTGTTTCAAGTTTTCAATGACACCGTGGTAAAGGTGGGACGTTACATGTTTTCTGAACGTTTTTCAAATTAAATGAAAATTCCCATCCTTACAAGCTGAGCTTATACTGGAGTGAACTAACCTTCCGTATCTTCGGCCAATGAGGCTGCATCGGTGAGCCTGCATACAGCCAGCAGTAGCAAACCAGCTAAGGGGAGCTTGGGTAAGTGGTTGTCGGCCTTCATGATTGGGCAGTCGTTACCGTGTCACACAACAGAACAGTACATGTGCATGTATGTGTACCTGGGAAAGGATTAGGGAACCAGACAATAGTGACAAAGCAATGTCATTAGAATTCTACATGTCCAGAGACTGGAGACTGAAACATGTTGAACATCAAAACTCCTCTAGCAACCCTGTAAGGTGCTACATGTACATTGTATTTATGACAAAACCCATCAAAATCCAACTTTCCCTTCCAATCCACATTTCTTGCTTGAAAGTCCACCACTGGCATAATGGTCTTTGTTGATGAACCGATTACACATGGCTCACACACTGTCATCAGTACTGTTGCCATGACAACATGCACTGTAAGCCCCAGATGCACTTCAGGCCTCCTGGACCATGTCCACCACAATCCATCGAGATTTGGTAACCTCTAATAGGCCTGCTGGACCGAATCCATCCAAATCCATTCAAAACTGGAATGGGTTTTAGTGGATTAGGGGTCTTTAGGGGTAATATGTATACATAGCTTGAGTAACTCCAGCTATAATGCTTATGACAACTAGAAATTTGCAAATTTACCACTCTGCATATAACAGTCGCAAACGGGGGTACAATTTGAGGAAACTTTTTTCTTTCAACAATTTATGATTTAATACCATACGCCCCACAGTTCAGTAGCATTCCTTTGCACTCCAGGGGGGGTAACAACACAAGAGGGCGCTTTATCTAAACCTCAACATTACAGAAGTCATGCATTCACTTCCGTGCAAAGTTTGGAAAATGACACTTTCGGCGGCAAAGCCATGGCAAATAAATAATCCTTAGGGGCCTACATCTTGACTTTTTTTTAAAACCCAGTCAGATCTCACCCCTGTAAAAATCCTGTTTTGGAAAACAGCAAAAGTTAGGCTAGACATCGAAATGAACAAGAATTACATCGCAGACCAACTACATACACATGTACATGTAGGTCTAGTCCAGATCACCATGTCCATATGTTAAAAGAGGCAATTCGCCAGCCAAGTTTATGCACGGTTGTGGAAGACATAAACCATAATGCGGCTTTCAAACTCTAACGGCATTGCACAGTTATCACTGCCAATTACGGTTTCAATTTCGATTACCATTGTGGCAGGGTCTACCATTCTATGATAACTCAATCGGTATGGCCGGAAGCAAATTGGTGCGCTCATCTGGGAACTTTTGCAATCCGAGGTCAAAGCATGGCGAAAGGTCACAAAGGTCAGAGAGAACTTTGCATACTATTTGCACAGTAATTCACAGCCCAGGTTGGACATCCTCTACATTGCATTGTGACTAAAATTTAGGGCATACAAGTTCTCCTACAATGCGGAATTATTTTCAATGGCGTTTTCTCACATTTTTACCTGGCGAACACAGCTCAAATATCATCCACAAAGTGCCCTGTATCCCGAATTCCATAAATGCTGTGTTGAAATTACTAAATATGCTTGCAGATAATGTATTTTGCAGGGAATTTAGCGAAACTCCACGCTTTCCATCGCGATTCGTGAACGAATCTACATTCGTCTAGTAGTACGCATTTGCGCATGCGTCGAAATGGCCTCCACGCTCGACCCATATTCTGTCAGTTATGCTTTCTGGAGCTGGGTCTAGGTCTTCGCTCCTTTGGAAATGCGTGGAGATGCGTCAACGACGGACCTACATGCAGCTGTAGCTTTGGAAGCCTGTTTCAGATACGGCCTTATCTGCAACTTCTTCACGCCTGATCTCTTCCGCGCATGCATGAGAGGCAGTCGGTTACTATGCATTTTGCGAATGTGCAAGTACGCGTACTGTACCAGACAATGTACTTATAGATCGTTGACGAATCGCGATGGAAAGCATGGAGTTTAGCAAAAATGCCTGCAAAATACATTGTCCACCTGGGCGTATTTAGTAATTTCAACACAGCCTTCATGGAATTCAGGATACAAGGCACATGTGAATGCCATTTCAGCTGTATTCACCAGGTAAAAATGTGAGAAAAACCTTAAAAAAAATTTGCAATGTAGGAGGACTTATAGTACCCTAGACGTCGGTCGTAGTGTAAATGGAGCATGGAGACAACATCCAACCTGCCAACCTGGGCTAACTCAGTAACTGATTCGCAACCCTGATGTAGGCTAGGCCTACTCAGATGAAATCTTCTCAACATATTCAGCTTTTTGAAATATTTTTGTCTCCTTTATTTCTTCATTTTCGCAATCAGATCGCATGTTTACTTTTTATACATACCTAATCAGACATAGACAGTCTTAATCTCCATGCAACACCATGCAATTCTCACTGCACTGTGCACATCATGCCTGACCTTGGCGTTCATCAATCATGTCATTAATTATTTAATGTCACTTACATCAACCTTAAAGTACTCTAATGACAACAGCAACTCACCATGAGATAAATACCGTAACCCCTATCATTTACTGCTGTTTGAGAATGCGCATTCCTTTACTCTAGTAACGAAAAATATGAGGTCTTTCTCAATGCATTCGTGCTACTGCTGTGCTAGTGATACCCACGTAATGACGATACATGTTCAGTACTTACCAACAGGTGGCGCCCTTCAATATTAGTGGGCGTTTCTGCAGTTTGTTTCATTCACTGTGATTTCTCCATAGAGTTGGAAATGGGTTTCTCTCAACAGTACTGAAAATCACGGACTAAAACACGTGTATATGTCTGAGCAAAAACACAGGTATTTTTTCGTTAGTAAAACAATTTTTAATTAAGTGCTAACCGTTGCCTGAGCAGCAACTCCTCAAACCAGTGAACGAAAAATTAATGACCAATCAAATTGCCATAAAACTGACATAGCGCCCTCTGTCGATATGCCAAATTCAATTGATGGCGTTGTACTGGTACCCGCCTCTTAGCTAAATGTGTACGTGTACTACGGGCAGCTGGTGCCACAACTGTAGTGCGCACGTAGTAGTCCATCATGGTATAGTGTGTGATGCGAAAACCTGCAGCCGGCACGGGTGAATCACAAGTTTCTCTGGTTGATTAGCCATTTCTGGGAAAATCTTGCTCTCGGCGAAAATGTGTTATGCTTATTGCTGTCACAATGCTTCTGAAATAGAGCACACATAGTCTTATTCTCATCAGATTCCAGGTGAAGACGCTAGTTGCTTTTAAACTCTGTGAAAATTCGAAGCAACAAGAAGTCCGCGGAGTGATTCCAGCACCAGTCACAGCGCCGTCCATTACCGGGAACTCTACCGCGTTGCGGGACCGTGAATCATCGCTGTTGTTACTCACCGGCAGTCGGCATGATGCAGAGTATTAAATGCGTGGTTGTGGGGGATGGGTAAGTAACAACACGCTTAAAGTTGGTGGGAATGCTTTTATGCTTTGTTGACTTTCAGTTTAAGAATGGGTTCTAACTTCTACCAACTGACAAAGTTAAAAATCATTTTTATTCAAAAATGTATTGTCAAGCCTGCAGGGCATACAGGTTCACATCATAACGTTAAACATGTAAGGTACTTCTCCGAGTTTAGGGACAGTCTCCGAGTTGTGATGTGCACCCCTACTGCCTAGGCTGAGCTACGTAATGTCATAAGAAATATATCACGAATGTGCCTACCTTGTAATACACCCCATTATTCAAGAACATTTTTATGTTATCAAAGCTCAACATTCTTTAATTTATAATTTATCAAAACAGGAAAGAGTTTATACATAGACATCACTTGACACCCGGTGTGCACAATCCCTATGAGACTAGTCTGAAAAATAGTTTGATATTTGCCCAATTGTATGTTGCTTTTGTGCCTTTAGTTTCCCACATATAATTTAGTTCGACTTTCTGGCAGACTTGCATCTTTGTTATAAGAATGGCGGAAAGAGTTCCATTTGCGGACTGCGGTAATTATTCGGCTATTAGCCGTTAGAGAGCAAAAACAAGTTCAGAAAAGTTCAATTTAGGTGGGAAAATACCAAGTCGTTTCCTTAGAAAACACAATTTTTCAGACCAGTCTCATATAGGGTTTGTGCACAGGGTGTGAAGCAGCGCTCGTATACGGAACTCTTTCCAAAATTGCGTAATGATGTTCCATGTATATATGTGTAAGATTGGGTAAAAATTATCAAATAGGTTTCTCATCCCTGTCTACTTGCTTTCTCCATGTTGCCTTTTTGTTCAGGTTTTCCCCTTTTGTTAAAATTTCAACATATTTTCTCCAGCAATTTCAATGCAGGTCTATAACCTGGTAAATAAGCCTTTTGCGAGTTAAACTTGAATAAAATCTAGTACACTGAGTTGTCTGGTTGCACATAAACATAACAATTTGAACTCCCCAGACTGAAGACACTGTTGCTGTACCTCATGATTTGGGGCAAGCTTAGCATACATGTAGCAACCACCATCTCTGGAATGGACTGGTTCCTTTATGCCCTTCTTATCCATTGTATTGTTGTAAAGTGTCTTTTATGTAACTAAGCAAAAGCTTGCCCCGAATGACGAGGTATAGCAACAGTGTCTTTAGTATGAAGAATTCAAATTATGTTCACATTAATTTAAAGAACTCAGCGTGCCAAATTTTATTCAAATTTAATTTGCAAACGGCTTATTGTTGAGAGCTCCTGTGCTTTAATTAAAAACCAATGTTTCAAGAAAAGTCCCTCGGGCATCTCGACAAAATGTCTGTGGTAAAAAAAAGAAAGGAAAAAAGCTGGACGAGAAGTGTTGATAAAAAGAGAGAAATGCGGAGCTAATCTCCAAATTATTAAATTCGAAAAGTACGAGTACAGTGGGGCACCTGCTGACTTACATCTTACAACATATATTTTTAATGATCATGCACTCCATTTTTATCATTCAGTAAATGCAGGAAATGGAGCTCTTATTTCTTCTCCAAAGAAATGCTAAAAAAACTGTTTTTCTAAAAGATCCTGTGCTTTGAGGTTCAAAACCAAGTATACTTAATCATGAATTACCTATCTCAAATATTAAATTAAGGTACCAGTCTTAAATTGTTTTTCCATGGTGCACGTATGGACAAGCTTGTACATTGATCTTTTTTATCCTGACAATGTTTACCTGTACGGTACGTGCAGGTAAACTCAACCAATTATATTTAGGCAGACGGCCAATAACGCCCACACTCCCCGATCGGAAGTTGTCCCCATTGCTTCCTGTCGCCGCACGAGTCATAGCAGGCTCCAGGCAAGATCGGAGTCAACGTCTCGCTTTGACATGTACATGTACGTGTGGCTGACTGGGCACGCCGCCCTTGTTCCGAACGTCATCAAAAGCAGGCAATATCCCCACAGGTCTCTAGAGGGCCGCTAAATTTGCTCTGTCATTTTGCTGCTCTAAAATTGCTGAGCAGTTTGTGCGCTCATAAACAGCCCTTTAGAGTGCACATCCACTCCCCCCCCCGAAAGAAACGAACATCACCCCCAGCAGATCTTTCTCCAGGCAGCTTGCTACCAGTATTTAGCAGAATTCAGCTCAGCTGAAACGAGAACACTGCCAAAACCTGCAACGAAATGCAACATAACTGAATTAAGAAGGAAGATGCAACAGACTTTGCTTAGTTTACTACCCGTGTGGATTCTGTGATGTGCTGAACAGTGCAGTGGTTAAGCGCCATCCTGGTGACTTTTGCCAGTAGCACATTGTTCTAGCGCAGCCCCTGGTAATGAATGCTAGCTCTAACAGTATTCAGCATGTTTTGACCACAGTTCTGTTTTAGCCTGGTTAACGTTCAACCTCACCCAGTTTGTAGAATTTCTTTGATTCAAAGCTGATTCCAACACTGTTTAACCCCCCCCTGGCCTTTTTACTAGGAACCATCCTGAATCTTCTGAAATCCTCGGATTTTCAACATGAAAAAATTGCATTCAGCCCAATTCCTCTAAAATCCTCCGAAATTTCTTGAAAATGTCATTTTGAGGTGTGCCTAACTGCCTGAATCCTTCAAAATCCTCCAGCAATTCCTGTCATTATGTTGAGGCAGTGCAAATGGTACATGTACTCTTGAGCTGTGTAGTTAGTTCAAAAGAAATATCAGGTGGAATTTGTACTTGACTAAGCACAAACAACATAAGGTCTAATCCAAGACCTTTACATATGGCATCCTTCGAAATCAGCCATATACCTTTGCCATACACCCTGAATCCTCCAAATTCCTCCACTTTGCCGAAAAGGACTTTGGAGGATTAGGGTTAATTAATCAAATAATTGCTACCCTTACATGTACATGTGTCACATCCAAGGGCTGTACATGTACTTACATGTATGTAAATTAGTGTACATACATGTACATGTACCGTATGTACTGGACGTGTGCCTTCCATAGGGTGTGTGATATCATAGTGAAATTGGAGGATTGAGCCCTGCTGGGGTAAGTCTTGCAAAACCCACCAAAACATTGTGGATTTTGAAGAATCTGGGATTGGTTGGGATCAGGGTTTGTTGACACAAATTAGCAATAATAAAAGTTCATGGGGCTAAAACTATTCCTGAGTGTTTTTTTACAATGCAGTGGTTGGACCGAAGACAGACAAACCACATAATAAACCGGCAATAAACGTCTGTGTTTAGAAACCCGAGCAGTGTTTCAAAGACACCGCATTCAGACAGCGCAACCACGACCCTTTTATCAGCAGTCCTGTTAAACACAATGTCACAGACAGATCGGCATGGTTGAACGCTTTCTCATCACGGAATGCCTTCAGTTTTTCCAATTAGGAAGCTGTTTTTGTTGTAAATCGGTAATGTAATATGCAAACTGGGTTTCACCCTGTATGTACATGTAAATTGTGTAAAATGGCGGCGTGGGCCATATCGCTTTCCGTCATCAGTCTGAGTTTACCACTTCGTCCGTGTAAATGGACTTTGGTAGTAAAACTGTACAAAGTAATATTACATAAAAGCTCAGATAATCCAATCCTACCAGTAAATTCATGTACACTGTACATTTGATCTTCCCCAATGAGTAAGTGTGCAGTGGACCATCTGGCAGGGAGAGAGAATGTTATCTTCTCCACATCAAAACAAATCCCCGCCCCATGGATGTTGACTCTGGGAGTAAATATGCCGATCTGATAAATCACCCAACCCTGTCATTTCACCCAGCAGTGTGCTGCTGGGGAACACCCAGAGCCTGCCCCAGCCATTTTGGCATGCCAGACGCACGCATATCTAATGAAAACAAGCTCAGAGGACTTAGACTGGGCAAACACTTCAACCATTCACCAAGAGAGACTTTTGTGTGTTTTTCTGTTCCCACATTTCCTTCGCGTGTGTCATAAATCAGTTTTTCTGTGCAAGCAATTCATGCACTTAACATGCTTAAGCAGTGCTTAACGAGCTGAAATATTCACATGTGCACATTTCTCTCGACCAGGTGTCTTACGTGATACCGGGGTAAGTTGATATGCACCCATGTGTTTGAAATACATGCAAGGTTGTGTTTGGGTTATGTTTGTCTCTTTGAATTAAAAAAGAACTAATTCTACGAAAAATTCTAAATGGTTTGAAATCGAACACAATCCACATGGACAGTGTAAGTCATGCAGAGGTCATAGGGTGACATTTTACTTTACTTCTACAATTTTTGTCCAAATTTTTTGTCCATTTTTGTGTACATGTAATTTAAAATTGGTTTCCATGAAGGTTGCTTCCTGGTTGTCAATGTCGTATTCAGTAGTTAAGTTTTTTGGAAAATTCTCCACACATTTCTACGTAGTGTAGCAGGAATTGTTTTTCCACTCTGAAAAATAGAAATGATAGCTCACCCAATTCAGGCAGTGAGACCCATTTTGGCTGTCATGATGCATTAGGGGTCCCGTGTTATCAATGAGTGTACATGTAGTGTATCTGAAGACACATTTAGGGTTGAGATTTTTTGACCCATGTTTAACCTTTAAGGGTTCGATTACACTTTCTACTGGATGGATGGAATTGTGTTTGCAAAAAGACATAAAAGGAAAATATTAAAAAAAGAATTAAACATTAATGAAGCCTTCCCCTACAAATTTTATCAACACTTAGACTTGGGCAGTGTACAGTTCATTAGCCCCAAAATGCATACATCTGAGGCAAAGTGTCAATGACGGGCAGACCTTGAAATTCTAAATGAAGTATAGTAATGTGCCATCCATGCCCTGTGACTGCATACTGTGTGATTAGATGCAAGGAGCCATGATGTGAGAGTACATTGATGTGCGCACACAGGCCCATACATGTACATGTATGTACATGTATGTACATGTACACTAGAATCATGTGGAAACTGTATTGGATGAATTGAGCGATAGAAAGAAAATCGCTCAAGGTAAAGATTGTGTTGTTGGTAC